GAATTGGGTTATCTTTGGTCAGAAATAAGCGGCCGTATATGGCCGCATTGGGGCGCAAAGGGTTAATATAACCCCAACGGACCGTATTTTTGTGAAAGATTGGTATTTTTGTCCTGATTTGTAGGAATCTGTAAAAACCGCGTTTCACAACTTGCCTCTTATTTTGTTTTATGCGTCATTCAAGATGGCGGCCCCCATATAGTAAATATCGTATTTAATTTATTATCACATGTGCGCCAGCTGACTGTGATACAATTCTGTATATATGCTCAAAACATGAAAATGTCTTTACATTAAGTCCATGATATTATCATCTTTAGGCGATTGAGTATTTTGGTGAATGGTTACTGAACCCATCTAATGTAGCATTCCTTAGAGTACACACTGGTGTGTATGATCCACAACTTATTGGGGACAAACCAAAATGGTACAGTGCACAGAACAGTCCTGTGAGTTTTAATGTGTATGATGAGAAATTAACCCTGGCTTCTACGCTAGCTGCTTCCATGGACGCAACGTCTGATGACGAGGACCCAACGGACGAGAGTGGCAGTAACACTGAAGAAGAAGAAGAAGATGATGCAGGAAGTACAAGTTCATCATATTCATCACTGAGTGACTTTGTTACTGATATTATCAATAGCGATATTACAGGTGATGTTATGCAAGGTAAATGGAACAGCATTTTTCTCAGTGGTGCATGATGGTGATTGTAATAGCTGTTTTTTTCACAGAGCTTATACATGTATGTTATGTGCCTTTCAGTTGATAATATACATGAAGTATAGAGCTTAATGGAACTCCTTGGATGGTCACTAGACCGTTAAGTATATAAAATAGCATTTGCCAGGTGTTTCCAGTGCCATACTGATGATGTATTTCTCGGTGATATCTGTTATGAATTTTTTGATAAATTGGTTTTAAAAAAAGTAACTTTTCATAGAGCTGGAATTAAATTGTTTTCTCTTATATTATATTCCAGATTGAAATGAAAAAAAAAAAGTAATGTCATAATTTATTTTCCCTGGAATAACACTGTGTTCAGGAATAACATTGATTGTAAACTCCCCAGACCCTCTTTTATTATATTAAATTTGCAATTTATTTTTGATAATTAAATTCTTATGTTACTACTGGGTAATCTTGATTGATTTAGCTGAAAACAAATGTGGGCATGTACATGAACATTTGTACCTCGGTTATTGATAGTGGTTCAGGTAAAAGCACAAACTCATAAATTATATTTTATTATAGAAATGTGTAAATAATACTACGTGTCAGTCTCTGTGAGTTAAATATATAAAGCAAAGTATATTGATTGGGATTGTTAAGTTCTTGTCAGAGTCTGTCCCCTATGGAGAGTCCTATCAGTAGAAACTGTATGATTAATATTCATTGAAGTTTACAACCATTATGCCTAGGGAAATCACCTGTGAACTGGAGGTCACCACTCTGAGGCTCAGTAGTTGAAACACCTGTCATCTCTCAGGGGGCTGAGTAGAAAATCACTGGTTAACTGGAGTTCAAGCTTTTGGGGCCGAGTCAGGAAAACTGGGCTCACCTCTCTAGTTCTGAGTAGGGGGAATCCTATGTGAACAGGAGTTCACCTACCGGTGTCTGTAAATCACCTTTGAACCCTCATTTCTCTGGGACTGAGTAAATCAACTTTGAACCCTCACCTCTCTAGGACTGA